GGGCTTGTTTGCTTATGATTTAAGACAAGTATGCTACATTGTAACGTGTTGGGGGAGGAGAGTTCATCAAGAAGTAGGCCTTTTACTTTGCCATTGGGAACCCCTGATCTGCATGCTCCGGTCTGCCACCAAGCTCTCGTGTTTATAGTATTGGGTACATCTGTGACTTGGAAAGAGGTGAGATGGGTGTCAGGAGTGTGGCTTCTCCCCTGTGTCGCACCTGGCACAAGCCGGTGCTGGACAGCACTGGTCCCCAAGCAAGGCTTCTGAGGGGTGCACTGTCCTGGCCTCAGCGCCCCTGGCTATGCATGTCCATGGAGGAGAGTCAGCATCAGTGTCTCTGGCTCTGCCCACTGGGGCCATCTCATTTGAACTTGGTTAAATCACCCCCAGCCTCCCACTTCTCTGGGCATGATGCTGTCCCTCTTCCTTCAGGTTCTGATGGTGCCAATGTCTTAAAATGCAGGTTTCATGCCAGGGGAGAGAGGAGGGCAAGATGGCTTCCCTAGTGACACCTGTGCTCATGGCTGGAGTTGTGCTACAACTTTAGCCACTCATCTGGGGTCAAGCAGAGGCAGTTTCTGTTGCCCAAGTCAGAGATGCAGTACACCTTGGGACATGCTCTCGGGGCGCCCAGCAGGGGCCCCGGGCCTTCTGCGCAGGCCGCAGCCCACACAACTTCATGTGGGGCGCTCTCTGCACTGGAGTGGATGCCAGGATCTTCCACAGATGACAGTGTACTGTGGTCCTGTTTGTTTATAAGGAACCCTGGGCAGCCATTGGCATTTTTTTAAAGAAATCCTTGGAACAGGATACGTGCGACCCCAGCCTTGCTGTGTGAAAATTCCTGGTTTGTCATCGTCCTACCAACAGAAGCCCAAGGAATCTACCAGCTGGTTTAAAGCAAAAGGGTCCCAGTGCCCTGATCTTGGCCTCAGGATTATTCTGTGGGTGACGGGTGACCCTGGGAGAGGCCCAGGGAGATGCAACTGCTGTGCTCATATGGGGAGGGTCTCTCCTGCAACGCTGGTGTCCCAGCTGGGTCCTGACCCAGTATCCGTGGGGGTGTCTTGGGCTGCCACAGTGCTCTGCCGGAGGCGTGGCCTGGCCCCAGCCGCTTGCTTCTCAGTGCCAGGTGAGGTGCCAGGAAGACTTGATGTAGAGCGCGGCCGGGGAGCCTGCAGTTATTGCCGTTTCAGGGTTCGCCGGGGCAGGGGGAAGGCTAGAGAAACTCCTCTATCATAAGAGCGGCGGCCAGCAGAACTGTCACACTGCAGTTCTTCCTGGGACGAGCCAGGCAAGGTTAGAGGAGAGGGCAGGGCAGGGGAATAAATTTCGTTTTATTATAGAAATGGAAATTTGTGTCGTGGCTTTAAAAATCTGGTTTTATGTGTGTGTTTAATGCCATTCATTTTAAATGTAGTCTCATAAATCCTTGCTTCAGAATCAAAGCTGTTTAATTACATTTCACCCATGACTAGTTATCTAATGCCAATAGAGAAAGAGTTAAAAAGGAGAACTACAGAGTAAATCAGAGGTGAGATCTTTAGCACAAGCATAAAAAATCAATTTAAGATGAATTTTACTACTATAAAAATTCTTCACATATCCTTTTAAGAGCTGGAAATGCTGGAAGCCCAGCTCCACTTCAGTTCCCTGGGCGAGGCAGAGGAAGGTGCCCCGCGTGGGCAGGCCCAGGAGGCGATGCGTGCTAGGTGCCCAGGGCACCTGTGCTGAAGGAGTGGTACCTCTAGAGGTGTGCCAAGTGCTTGGGGGGCAGAAGCCTCTGCCCCTCACTTAGGTGCCCCCTCCCCGAGGGGGATGCTGGCTTCTCCGAGCCACCCCTGTGATGGCCAAGCAGACCCCATAGTCCTAAAGACCAACCTAGAGCTCTTGCAGAAGAGGTGCCAGGCCCAGGTGGTTTGGCACAGGGTGTTGTGGCGGGCCTGTCCCTCTGGTGCCCTCAGTTGAGGGTTGCTGCACAAGGGCATCACTTCCTGTCTGAGCAGGTGGCATTAACCCTGAGGCGACCACTGGCTATCGGCTCTTTGCTCTGGACGGAGCTCCGGCAGGCCCCAGTGAACACCGTCCTGCTCCCTGGGTTTACAGCTGTCCCTGGGCCTCAGGATGGCAGAGCACATCTCATGGTTCTCCATCCTTCCTGTTAGCCCTCTTTCAGTGCACGGCTTATTTGGTGAGTGAGAAACAGAGCAAGAATATTCTAAGATTGAATAATAATTCAGCCAAGCACAGGGCAGATTTCTCCTTTCCACTGTCAGACGTGGCTAGTAGGGAAAGAAAGTGGGCAGTGAGAGGACGGTGCCTCCCTCCAGGAGCCCTCTGAGAGGCCTGTTCTCTGCCTGCGGAGAGAGCCCGGCCTCCCTCGGGGCCTCTTGGTGCCTGGGCCTGCGAAGGGTTCCCAGGCGGCCATTCAGGCCAAGAAAGCAGCTTGTGTGTTCAGGCCCCAGGCTGAACGAGGGCCCTGTGTCGTCTGGATCTGTTCCACGTGGTGGTGTGTCAACAGGATTAGCTGCTCTGCAGGGCTAGAGTCTCAGTCCTGACGCATGTCCCAGTGGTCTGTCCCTGTGTGGCCTGCTGGCGAGCTCCTGTCTCCTTTCTCCGTTGGAGCCCCGGCTCCTTCCTGACCTGCCAGTGTCTGCATGCTTAGACAGCCTCTCCAGTAGCAGTGTGGACCCTGTGCATCCCCCGTCAGTGCAGTTCATCTCAAGGCCTTGGAGATGTTAAATACCACAAGGGCCCCGTCTCAGACTCCAGCATGGCCTGCTGTCTCCCGCCATTGCCCTGCAGGACCCAGGCCAACAGTGCCAACAGAGCAAGGAACCCCCCAGGGTTCCCCTCCTCCAGTAGCAGGAGCTGGCACAGCTCTGCAGGGGCTCACCCCCAATGGGGACAGACTCCGCTTCCCACAGTGCCCCTGAACTTGGCCACGCAGGCACCCTGTAGGAGTACAGCATAGCCATGTTGACTCCAATGGAAACCCTGGGATGTCCTTAGGCCTAGGTTGGCCCCTTTGATGGTCCTGTATCAAAGGTGTGAATGTCCCAGGAGGAATGCAGAAGTGGCTTCCATTGGTGTGTCTGCCTGCATCCATGAGCCTGCCCAGCCTGCCTTCACCAACAAAGGATCCCGTGGGAGAGCGCATGCATGCGCACACCGCCCTCCTCCTCTGCCTCTGCTGCAGCTGTGAGGTAGTCAGCCTCTGTAACCAGAGGGAAGTCGGTGGCTGCCCCTTGCCTCATGGTGTACCTTTGACTACAGATTTGCACAAGTGTGGTTCCCCCAGGGACTAACCATGCGGGAGCCACCGGAGCTGGCAGCGTGAGGCAGTGCTCTGAGAGGTTCTGCAAACTCTCCAATCTGGCCTCCCACCTGCCTGAGCACAAGGAAGCTGCTGGTCCCTGGCAGCCTGGGCTGTGGCCTAGATGCCAGGCAGCACCCACACGGCAGCTGGGTTACCAGCCCCTCCACCACAGGCCTCTTCCAGAGCTCTGGATCAGCCTCGTTCTTACTGCTGTAGCCTTGCTGGGGCAGCTAGGGCCTCGTGGCCTCTGGCAGTTACATTCCCCTGTTTAGGGACAAAGTGACCGTTTTGTCCTGGCATGCAAAATTTGTGCCCACCTTTCCATGATTCATTATCCTCCTGCCCACACCCTGAGATCAGCCATGCACAAGCTCTTTCTCCTCTTTGTTGACACTTTTGCCCCCCAGGGTGGCCTCCTGGTTCCTCTTCTCCATCCATCTCATCTGCCATCCCAACTCGGGCAGACACAGCCAGACCTGTGCTCCCGGGCACTTCAGCCCCGCCTGTCATGCCTGTGCTGGGCCGTGTTTCCAGTGAACGGAGGCCCCCTGCTTCATGGGGATGCTCAGAGGATGGAGAGAAGACAAGATGGTCTGATGATGGAAGCTCACACTCCAGGCCTCTCAGGACCCAGGGTGCCGCAGGAGCTCGGGAAGGATGCCGGGAAGCATCCCGCAGGGACGTCAGGGAGGCTCTGTCCCTCTTCCCACAAGAGCCTCAGAAGCTGTGCTACCTGCAGAGGAGAGTAGAAAAGCTGTGCCCACCAGGCCTGGGAAGGGTCTGGAAGCCTGCGCCTGTCCAAGGCTGGACAGGCAGAAAGTCATCCAAGACAGCAGGCCCAGTGCCGCTGCTTCATGGGGTGGGTCCTGAGCAACTGGAATAAAACCAGATCTGCCTACAGCTCCAGGGCCCAGGATCAGAAAGCAAACCACCTGCCAACAGGATGCTTGCCCCCCATGGAAGATGAGCAGTGGGTTCTGTGAGGGGCCAGACCAAGAGGCAGAGGAGGAGTGTCCATGCAGACACAGCCAGGGAGCAGTCTGATTAACCCCAAAATGTTTGGGATTCAAATTCAGGACATCAAAGGGCAGGGAGATGGTGACCAGGAAGAATGAGCGGGAAGACTTGAGAAGGAACCAGGAGATGCCCTGGGCGTAGAAGCCACAGTGCTGTCATCGAAGCGCCAGGCCCACCGGCAGCTCCCCTGAGGATCAGTGCTCTGGAGCCTGGGAATGCCAAATGGAGTGGGCATATGAGTCAAAGTAACCCCAGACGGGGCATGCCCCCGCTGTTGGGGTCCAGAGTAGGGTGGGGGACGTGTGCTACAGCTGATGTTGCTGTTTCTGGAGAATATGTTTGATGATGGCTACTTGATGCTTTTGTGGCTGTTGCCTTAGAAAGAGCACACTCTCGCCCCGTGACTGGTGCACATGGCTCCTGCTCTGGTGTATCTGTGCCTTGTGCCCGTAGACCTTTGGAGCTCACACTTGAGCCCTCAGTGTCCTAAGCCAGGAGATGGTGGGGTGTGGGGGGTGACCCAGCGTCTTCCTGCTCGGCTCCTGCTGGGCAGCTGGTGGGACACAGACGTTCCTCCAGCTAGACGCAGCGGCCATTCACTCCTCCCTTGTGTGGAGGCAGGGCCCAGAAGTTTACTAAGCCCCTGTGGTCCCTTTTGCAGCCCTGCGGAGGCCCCAGCAGCTCCTGAGGTTGTCAGCGGTCCAGAGGGAACATCGGAGCCCCTGATGCGATGCGCAGCCTGGCTGGATGCCTATTTCCACAAGCCCTCAGCCATCGAAGGGCTCCCTCTGCCTGCTCTGCACCATCCCGTGTTCCAGAAAGGTTGGTACCTGCGCCTGACTCGGTGACTGTTACTGACGTCACAGCTTGCTGACCACACCAACTTGCTGTTTTCACGTTATCTCCGCCCAGGTGGCATATGGCCAGGCTGAAGGACAAGAGCTTGTGGTCTCCACCCATTCCAAGTGGCTGTGTTAGTTTTGGCACATGGTCACATAATTCTTGGCAAGGGCCATGAAAATGATGCATGCAGATCAACTCTCGCTGGCTGAAAGGTTTAAACAGGAACACATCTGAATGGCAGTAAAGTTTTCAATAAGCTCATTGTTAACTTAAACTCTTTGCCTGCCAACAGCCTGAAAATGAGACTCATACGTGGGCAATTAGCCACTTTCACAAACTCAGTGACAGCTACATCAGAGAGCGCAGCTGCATTGTATCCTCTCAGATAGGCTTTAAATCTAATTCCTTAAACTTAGTACATTCGACGGGTTCTTAAGCATGAATTGAGAACTTGATGCTTCAGTGCAGTGTACTTTATAAAGTGTCTTCAGTGGCCTAAAAATGTCTTGCCAGACGTTTCTTTTAAATCTTTTGTTGTTCTACTCAGCACAGAAGTTAATTATAGCAGCTAACATTCTAGACACATACCAAAAATTTATTTTGGATAATGATTTTTATAAATAATCATCGCAGTGTAAATGAATATCTGCTCAGATGTCTGTGTGTAGATATACACACATCCTTAAGGAGATAAACTACCCTGAGATTTTACATATGGTGATTTTAAAGCAATCTTGAATTTCAAAGTGGTTCTAAGTACAATTAAAGGTATTCTAATTGCTGTCTGATTTTTCAGCACCAATGGACTTGAAATTGGCGTTATTTCTAGGGAAGCTGGTATAGAAGAAGCTCCTGAGTTTGGGCTGATCCCAGGTTCAGTGATGTGGTCAGGCAAGGGAATGGACAAAGCCGCGAGCGTGTTTTGTACAAGATGAACGGACGCTGCATCTGAAATGCTCGGGTTCCTCATTGTCCATATCATGCAGAACTACCTCCAGGTTTTTCTCAGAGCTCCCGAATTTCTAAATGTGAGTCTCTGGGATGGTGGGGAGGCTCGGTAGGACACTGTGCACATCCAAAGCCCTCCACCAGCCCCCCATGAGGCGCTGAGGGAACGGTGCTGCCCGGCCCCCTGCCACGTCCTGCCTGCTCTGCCCCACCTCCCGTCCAGCTCTGTGAGCCGTGGGCTGCAGTGATCGTGTGGGTGACCCAACCTGTTGAGCACTTCCAACCACCAGGGTGGGCTAGGGATGTTACTGTACTGCAAGGAAGTGAGAGATGGGTTTGTCTCCTAGGGGAGGACGTGGGGGCCTCAGAGCAAGGCACTCAGGCGCACTGTCACCACAGGGGAGCCACAGAGCTAGTCAGGGAACTTTCCTTCCCTCAGTCTACCCACGAGACAGCTGAGGTCTGAGGTCTTGAAACAGAAACTTGTCTTATAAAGCAGGTGAGAAAGTGTCTGTCTAATCTCACAAGGGGACAAGCACGTAAAATCCTAAACCTCACCTAAGCTTTGTTGTGTAACTTAGAAATGTCGAGGCTAAAGTTGCGAGAACTCATTAGTTTTTCATGAGCCAGACAGTGATACTGGCACAGAGTGGGACTCTACTGGCCTTGTCCCACCAGCATCCAGAGAGTAGGGCCATGCCAGACCTGGAGAAGGAGCCCAATGAGCCACTGACAATGATCCAGGCCAGAGGTGACTGGCAGAGGAGTGATATTGGAATGATCAGAGGTCCCCCACCTGCCTCAGCCTTCTCACCCACTCTGAGGCCCCACTGCGGTGTTGGCTGGCCCCAGATCTGGGACCTGCCTCTGGGACTCCTCACACACAGCTCCAAGAGGCCATGCCTGCCCCTCCTGCCTGGCTCTGGAGTCCACCCCAGGCCCCCACACTGGCTGTGTCCTATGCAGCAGCTCGTGGTGGGTCTTGGTGACCACAAAGTCCTCTAGTAGCCTTGGAGAGGATGAAACCATCCACTACCCCAGCCCTGCAGTGCTGGCAGGCACCTCAGGGTTGTGGTCAGCAGAGTCTCAGCACCCTTCTTTCTCTCAGTGCCTGGAGACGTGGAAGGCAGTGCAGACCAGCATGTTCACCTCCCTAATGGGGTCCCCTGCTCCAGGTCCTCTCAACAGTGGTTGCTGCTGAGGCTGGGACTTGGCATATTTCTGCATATGAAACCTGGGGGTTTTCTTTTCTATTTTTCTTTTTTTATTTCATTCTTTTGATTTAGTGCAGTCACTTCCTCCTGCACAGGGCCCAGGTATGTAGATTTTCCAGTTTCAAAAAGTGGAGCTGGTGGTTGGTGGTGGTGGCAGCATCAGACTGCTGACATAGACCTGCCGGGCAGACCCCCACCCCCAGCTGCCTGTCCTCAGCGCAGGGTGCTCCACAGCAGCTTGCGTCTGCTAACGCTAGTGAAGGAGGGAAAGTCTTGGGACAGGGATACCTCGGCGTCCCCTGGAAGCTGTGGGTTCACGGAAATTGATCCTCTTTGCAGACTGCAAGGAATGGGTTGCTTTTCATTTAAGAAATGTCTTCTGGACTGTTCCATTTCCTGTGCCTGTTTTGAATGGGTCTGACATATTTTGTGTTGCGGGTTTTTTTTTTTTTTCTTTTCAGTCATATCTTAAATTTAGGCCAGTTCTATCCCTTTCAAAAAGCGGTTTGTAAGGAGCCGGCCCTGAGTGCCAGCACACTTGCCTTTTTTGCTAACGCCCTGGCTTGTAAGTCTGCCACTGCTCCATGCCAGGCTCACATTCTCCTGGGCACCCACACACCTGTGCTGCTGTGGCGCTCTCCCTGGCCCCAGGGCCTCCTCTCCTTCCCAGGATCCTTCCAAGATGTGGATGTGCTGCTCTTGATTTGTTTTTAAGGCTAGCCACAAAAATAGAAAGTTGAACCATATAAAATTGTTGTTTTGTGATCAAAAGTTATCCAATAGTGGACATTTTATTTAGTTCAGGTCATTATTTTTGGAGAATTTCTGAAGTTTAATTAGTTGCAGGCCAACTATTGGGTTGTTTGTGTGTTGAGGACGACAGACCACCCTTCCTGACCAGGAGTCTGCAGTGGGCCATGGCCTCGTTCCAAGTCGGATAGTGGGCTGCTCCTGAGAGAGGGGGATGGCTCCTGAGGAAGTCCTGGTGTCCTGTTGCAGGAGCAAGGCCCAGGCATCCAGAGCAGGGCCATGGCATGGTGGACCCAGCAGGTGCCCCGGGCTTTCTCACAGGCAGATGTCAACAGCCCGGTTCTGAGTTTTACTTTAAAGGGTGGGTGTTCCCTTTAAATGGGATGCTCAAGGCTGTCCTGACCCCTTCACCACAGCTGTTGGCTTGTAGCTGTGAAAGCCTTGCTTCCCCACCTCTGGCTGCAAGTGAGCCTGGTGACTCCTGCACTGAGCCGAGGATAGGACCCACACCCCCGTGTGTGGATCTGCACAGAACACCTCGTTTCAGAAGCGCCCCCCAAGAAGGCCTGCCCGAGTCATGGGAAAGGCCTTTCAGGGTTGAGTTAATTTCCCCACCGAGTCCTGGAAGACTGCCTGACTACTTGTGCCTCCAGTGGGGTCCCTGAGCGTTCTGAAAGGCAGATGATGGGGCAGCCATCTCCCTGGCCCTCCTCAGAGCAGCCCTTCAAAGCTCCACTTTGGGGACCCGAGCAAGGGCTGTACCCCTAGCTACCTGCTGCCCGCACCTGTAGCGCTCACATCCTGGCTGTCACTCATGGAGGGGAAGCGTAGCCCTGACAGGCCCTACCTGGGCCAGGTGGTCCCTCAAGCCTCCACCTGACACGTGGGCCATTGTGTTCCGGCAGCGTGCTGTGTGGGTCACACGTCCACCTATGCCCGCATCGGTGCCTTCCACCCTCAGGCACTTTGCTGTTTACAGCCTGAACTGTAAACAACGGTGTGATGGGATGGTCAGCAAGAGAGTGCGTCTTGGGGTCTGCTGGAGAACGTCACCCTCACCCTGTCCTGCCACGTCTTAAACAAGGACGTCGAAATTGCTGATCTTGCCGAGATACTACCTGGTGGAGCCAGAAGGTTCCGAAGCCTCCTTCCAGTGCACTTATTGATTAGAACAAGCTAACAACACTGCACTTAAATTACGTGGGAAGGAAACAGCTGGTGGAAATGTAATTCCGTCAACCTCAGAGCTGCTGGATCCCTTTCCAGGGACAGCAGACGTGGAAATCTGGGGCTTAGGCCAGCTGAGGCCAGTGTCTGGAAAGGTGAGTATGAAAGACCCCACCCACAGCCAGCCCCCCAGTCATGCCCATCAGCAGCAGAGGCCACAGTCGGAAGCAGCCACCATCCTGGAGAGGAGAACCCAGCAGATTTCTGTGTCTAGAGCAGGATGGGAGAGAGATGGTGGAAGGGCAGCAGTGGTCAGGGATGAGCGGGGGAGGGTCCACAGCGTGTGGACCTGAAGGTGACCAAGGTAGACAGCAGCGTCATCTTCATCAGGGATGATCACTGGCACTCTGCTCCAAGGAGCACATCCCCTGTGGACAGGAGACCAGGGCCACTGCACTGGCTTCCTCTTCCAAGCTGCATGGCAGGGCTCACCTCTTCCCCCGTCAGGCTCCGTGGGCACACAGGCCTCCTTCCCGAGCGCCAGCCCAGGAGGACTGCTTCCCAGGGAAGAGGCTCTCTGATGGTCTAGTCCTTCTCCTGGCTAACTGTCCGGCTTGCACTTGAACGTCCCTGTTATTTCCAGACCCTCAGCAGGATGAGGAGGTTAGATTAGTTTCCAAATGCAGAACCTTAAGGTGGAGAGTCTCTCTAGGCTAGGGCCTCCCAGCCTGCACAGGAAACATCACTTCCCTGGGAGCTCCCCACAAGGCCCCCTAGGGCTGGTGGCTCTCCTGGTTTGCCCTGCTTTGTCCACACAGGGCTGGCCCTGGGGATTGCCTGGCCTGGCTAGCCAGTGATGACTGATGCCCCTCCTTCCTTGTCCTTCACCTCGACCGAGTG